TTTAACAGAGATTCACATAGAAAACAGCTGTTTTACATTGTAATAATATTTCACATTTTTACTGTATTTTGATCAAATAAATTATTTCTTTTGAATAAATTATATAAATGATTGATCAAATAAATGATAAATGACTTTTAAAAACTTTAAAAATCTGAACTATTCTATGTCATACCTCCATCCGTATCTGCCGACGCTCAGGCGTCTCTGGTTAGGCGTGTTTGAGGCCGTGTTCTGTGCCGCGGGGCTCTGCGGTGCTGCTGATGCATCACGGACTGCTGGATAGTGTGGCAGACAGACTCTGGTCTGTTCCTGAACTCCTCCGCCGCAGGAGCGCGAACACTCGCCCCACGAACCCCAGGAGCTCCACAACCTCGACGGCGCGCCTTCAGAACCAGTCTGCTGTGGATCAGACCAGATCTGAGCACGTATGGCAGCACATCATGTACATAAAGAGGAAACAAAATGACATGCATTTTGATAATGAGCCAGAGCACTGTCAATCAAACAGCTGACGGCCAATCAGAGGGCAGAGGGCGTGACCTCACTCAGCCGGACCCTAAAACTCATTCTCAGGGTCAGCGAGAGGTCAGACAGCTGAAGCACATGTCATCACTCTCACTATGACAGGAATGAGACGACACTCATGGACAACAGCACGTTTTCCTTTCTGGAGATGCTTCTTTTTTTTTTTCTACAGAAATCCATGTGGTTTTGAGTTCTGATTTGTGACACTTTGAGCTCTGATGAATATTACGTGGAATACTCCTCATAATAAACCAGCAAAATGAAAAATAAGAGGGACAGAATGAATTAAATTCATTACATAAAATTCAAGCCAAACATTGTATCAGTAATTTGCCTGCCATCGGCCAGTGATGTACTGATGCAATTTTGGGCACTTGTTTCAACTATAGAAAAATATATATTTTTTAAAAATGATAAAGTGTTTTCCCTTTATATTAGTCTTACCTGCCTTGTTGTCTGATGACACATGAAGATCGGCAACAGAACCACAGCAACACTAAAAACACAAAATTACATACAGTAGAAATTGTGAAATATTATTACAATTTAAAACTATGTGAATATATGTTCAACTGTAATTTATTTCTGTGATGCGCAGCTGTATTTTCAGCGTCACTCAAGTTCAAACTCGTGTTGTACTCTTTTTAGACCTCAGCTGACCTTTGACCCGACCTGCTGACCCCTGGAGCGCTGGAGCTGTTAAATGTGTCAGTGACTGCAGCTGCTGCGTTCAAGTGTGTGTGGGAACGAGTAACGATACCTTCATGAAGGTTTGTGAGATATTACAGGAGTTATTAACAGGAAATACCTTGTTTTCTTTTTACAGTATGATTACATATTTAAGTACAGAGTAATATTAATTAACAACATGTACTTTAGGGCTAGTTGCATATATTTATGCATAATTTAGTGTTATTACTATAGTAAGCATGTAACGTGTAACAAGGACACTGTAAAATGAAGTGTTACATAACTCGTATGTGGAAATGTTACCCTGGTGTGTTACCAAAAGTTACCACAGTGTTACATGAATACAGTAATAATACATATGAAAGTATGGTATAATTATGTGGCTCTATATATACAGTATATATATATGTGTGTGTGTGTGTGTACATATGCATATATATAGTATTCAGTATTGTATTCATTTCAATAAAACGTTAACCCTTTAGGTTCATGAAAATATATATATATATGAATACATTTATTATAGCTCCTATATATATTGGTACCACAATAAAATGATAGAAATACCATGCTACTCCGTGTTGGTGCCTGATAGTTTGTGTGGTAATCGTGAGTGTAGTAATAGTGTGGTAAAAGTGCAGTAAAAGAGCAGTACCCGTTGAGCTCCAGCTGTTCTAATGGTGAACGCGTTGATGGATCGTGACGCGTCCTGACGCGCGTAATCCAGCGCCTTCATTAATAATCCAGCAGCTCACGCGTCGCTCATTAGCAATTATCTCCATCATTAATGACTTTCAGCCTCTTCAAACAAGATGTTTCCACTCCAGTGAAAGTTTCTCCGTCAGTCAGACATCCGAAGAGAGACGAAGCGCTCGGAGAGGGAGAGAGAGAGAGAGAGGGAGGGAGAGAGAGAGACGGAGGGAGAGAGACGGAGAGAGACGGAGAGAGAGAGAGGGAGAGAGACAGAGAAAGAGAGAGAGAGAGAGAGAGTTTCACAGTTTTTTTTCCCCCTGCAGAGTTTAACAGGTTTAAGGACATTTGATTTGGATTCCAGTGTGACAGCATCACTATCAGCGGCTTTAATTATGTTTAATTAACAATAACAATAAAATAAAATAAAATAAATGTAATTAAATTAAAATAAAACTGCGGAACAAATAAAGTAAGGCATCTGAAGCCCATGCCAACGTAAAATAATAGAATAATAAAAAATAAAATTTTAAGATAAAATAAAATAAAATAAATAATATTAGAATAATAAAAAAATAATATTTGAAAATAAAATGGACCATCAGCTTGGGCCCAAATAAAATACAAAATAATAATAATAATAAAGGCCTCTGAGGTCCATGCTGTCACGCCCTTGGACTGCTCCTGTGTTCCGTGTCTTGTGTTTTGCTCCCCATGTTCTCCCTGTGACCTAGTTTCTCCCTCATGTTGATTGTGTTCAGTGATTTCAGGTGTGTTCCATTGATTTCCTTGTTTAGTTCCTAGTATTTAAGTCCTGTGTTTTCCTTTGTGCTGGGTCTAGTGTTAAACGTCTTTAGGTTCCTGTGCTACGTGTGTGTTAATAAAGTCTGTGATTTCTGTATTATACGATGTCTCCTCGCTAGTAGACCGACAAACAGTAAGCGGCGCCCCTTCTCCCCGTGCTTTTGTTTACGTTTTTTGAAAGGGTTTTGTTTTCCGTTTTCCCCCCCGCGATCATGGAAACGGCCGCAAAATTCACTGCCCTTGCCCGTAGGGATCTCCCCTTCGTAGAATTCGCCCAGGAATTCTGAGAGCTCGCGGCAATGACAGTGTTGGATGATGCCACGCTGAATTCTCTGTTCTGGATCGGGGTCAATTACCATCGGCCAGTGGACCTCCCAGACACCACTGGACTGAGCTGGAGGGAAGGTATCATCCGGTGTCTGGAGAGTGTCCAGCCCCGATTCAGAACCAGCCCGCCGTCAAGCCTGCCAGCCTCTCCTATGTCAAGCCCGCCGGCCGCTCGGAAGTAGAGGCCGCCGGCCGCTCTATTGTCAAGCCCGCCGGCCGTTTCACTCCCAAGCCCTCAGCTGACAGCAGCAGTGTCCTTCACCTCTGCTCAAAAAAGGAGAATGTGGAGGAAGAGACTGTGGGCTCCAGCCCCTGAGTCCGCTCCAGTGTCGGCTCCAGCTCCTGTTCCCACGTTAAGCCCAGGGAGGTCTCCTATTCCCAAGTTAAGCCCAGAGAGGGCTCCCGTTCCCAAGTTAAGCCCTGAGAGAGCTCCCGTTCCCACGTTAAGCCCAGGGAGGGCTCCCGTTCCCACGTTAAGCCCAGAGAGGGCTCCCGTTCCCAAGTTAAGCCCAGAGAGGGCTCCCGTTCCCAAGTTAAGCCCAGAGAGGGCTCCCGTTCCCACGTTAAGCCCAGAGAGAGCTCCCGTTCCCACGTTAAGCCCAGAGACGGCTCCCGTTTCCCAAGTCCAGCCCAGAGAGGGCCCCGTTCCCAAGTCAAGCCCAGAGAGGGCTCCCGTTCCCAAGTCCAACCCAGAGAGGGCCCCGTTCCCAAGTCAAGCCCAGGGAGGGCCGCTGCTCCTACGTCAGGCCCACGGAGGGCCTCAGAACCCAAAATTTCCCCTAAGGAATTTTTGG